GAGGGTGGTTTCTGAGTCTCAGGGATTCAGGATGGTGCGTATTTCCCCATCTGCCTCTTTCTCTGTGGATTTTCACTCAGCTAACTTGCCGGTCATCCCAGGTATTTCAGGATGAGCAGCTTGATACCTCCCTCTTTCGGCAAAGGCCCTAACCTTGTAGCTTTCCACCTAGGCACACAGATGGGGTAGATGCTAGAGGTTGTGTGTCAGTGACATTGCAGAGTCCCTGGAGTTAACATGTAGTCAGCATGAGCTAAGAAGTGAACCGTTTTATTTTCTCATGGTGGGGGTTCGTGATATTGCTCAGGCTGGCTCCGGGCCCCTGGCTCACACTGCCTCTCCATCTCAGCCTCCCCAGTGGTTTATTTTGGTTCATGGTTCCATCCTAACTTGCCTGGCCCTGTCGCTTTGGGCCTGTCATAAGAGAGCGTATCAAGGAAGAGTGAGGGAAGAGGACCTGATAACCTTACGGACTGAGTTCGGGAAGCAGGAAGATGAGGGAGGGCATGCCTTGCTCAAGCCGATTTCCTCCTGAAGGTTTCACCGTTCTCCACAGGCTGGGGACAAGCCTCTGGAGCTTTGGGGCAGCCCGGGTCCAAAATATTCACATTCTTCTCCTGGCTCACCAAGGCACATCTTCACTGCACAGAGCAAAATGCACGCAGCTGATTACAAGCATTCCTTAAGTCTTCACTGGTTCAAAATTTCTGGAAAGCTCCTGCCAAATTCTCCTAAGGTTTGAGACAGACTCAGATATGAGCCCTGGAAAGAAGTCAAAAGAGCAAAGTTCATGCTTTAAGATACAGAGGCAAGGGGCAGACACGCTTCTTGGACTCCCCTCTACCCCGGAACTTGAAACTGTAGTGAAATACATCTATGTTTTAAGGTCCTGGAAAATTCCTCTATAGCTCCTCCCAGCCTACCGCAGAACATATAACCCTCTTCAAAGACTCAGGGGTTAGCCTTTTCCCTCCTGCAGGCTGTGGTCCTTTGTTTCTTAACTGCTTGTTTACCAACCCTGATTGGGGCTATAAAGGAACATCTGTGTGTTTCCAGCATCCTTCCAGCAAAGCCTCCTTCAGCACTGGAGTTTGTGCACACCAGGGTATCAGGTTCTATTAAAAGGACCATTAGTGTGCTCGATTGTTGTTTGTAGGTGCAGTTTCTTCCCAGCATTGGCTGGAACAGTTTCCGGGATTCACAGCAGCTCCATCCTTAAGGCCCGTGAAAGGCAAACAAACCCCCATTCTGCAGGAAAAAGCGACTAGGGCGGAGAAATGATATTCGCATTGGACCTTCTCGTAAGAATCCAGGGGAACTGCTGGAAATGCACCCTGGCAATCAAAACTAGTAGCACCGGCGGCCCCCAGAAAACTGTGGGGATGACATTTCCATAGTAATGACATAGCTACTCCATTGCCCCCGGAGAAAGCAAAACAGCCTCGTGGCCTTGCTGGGGTGCTGCCATGTCTCTCTGAGACTCCCCTTCTGCCATGGGTGCTGGGCTGGTGACAGAAAATCCTTCTTGGGGAGCTTGCTGAACCCAGGAGATGCCCCAACTGTCCTCTGTGGATTGGTGCCTTAGACTCTCGTATGTAAGCTCAGAAGCAGTGACCATTTTTAAAATGGCCTCCAAGTTCCCATAAAGGCTGGAAGTGTGACTCAGGCAAAAGTCTTTCACTCCTGTGGGAAGTAATTGGACAATTGGGTACAGAAATCCGAAGTGGGATGGGATGCCTGGAGTCCTCCCGGTACCTGCCCCCAGAATGGTGCTCCCGTCTTCCAGTGTTTGCATCTCCCCTGGCTCTTTCCTCAGAGGAGGATGTGTTTGTGTGAGGTGTCCTGAGTCTGGAAAGGAAGCGGGAATCCTAGACGGTTGCTGAAATCAAGTTATGTGTTTGCTACACACCATAATTAGTGAGTGCTTGGCTTTGAAAGAACAAGGGCAAGTGGCAGAGCAGCCCTGGGCACGTTTGCTCAAAGCTACACGGGCGGTTTTTGTTCTGGAAGGCCGACCTCAATGACTGCTTTGAGGGGCACCTTGCTACACAGTAGCCAGATGTGGTCTTTATGCCACTGTGAGCTAAGGATGTGTAGTTGGGGTACCTCCTCGGGGAGTTAGGCAACAGACTCCCATGACCCCTCTGACCTCTGGCTACTTCTGCTTCTTTTGGCTTTGTCCTTTAAGAAAATCTAATGCAGGCTTTCGAAGACTAAAGAACTGAGGCACCCCCTTTGCAGTTTCGCCCCTCTAAATTACTTTGCAGTTCCCCTACCCCCGTTAGATTACTCGCAGTCTCTTTGGTGTGACTAACTCCCGCTCCCGCGAGGAGTCTCAGAAACTGGTTTCAAAATACTGAAGCCAGCTGACGGATTAAACAGCTGCTACCTCAGCAGAAAGTTAGGGCGGAGTGAAGTGCAACTGCTTCCTAAGTCACATTCGGATTGTCTGTAGAGAAAATTTTCTTGATATTAGCTACCATTAGATACGCCTCATCTCCCTCCAAATAGCGAACCCCTGAAACTAGTGTGTAACAGGTTAAACTTCCATAAGAAACAAAGACTTTTCTCTTTGTTTTGAGTGATGGTATCTGCTGTGAATGTTGACTGACCCAACTGAATGGGTGAGGTGAATAAAGGTTGCCTGGAGCTGAGCTAGGACTTTCCTGAGAAAACGTGATGGGATGCGTTCTCCAGTTTCTTACTAGACTCTTGAAGATCTTATTAGGTTTCTTGAAATGTGTGGAGTAGGTGGGAGCCACAGCAGGATGGAGTAGCAGAGGAGAGAGCAGCCCTTCCGTTTGCTGTCTGGCTGCAAGATCAACGAAGAAGCCCATGTGGAAGTGGTCTGCGCAGACATACTCTCCCCTGGAAGGTCACTCATTGGTTTCTTTCTCTTTTTTTTTTTCTTCTTTTTTTGGCAGGCTCCTTTTCCCAGTGGATTGTTCTCTATTAGCTAATCAAGGGCTTCTGGTCTCTAAGCCTCAGCCTCCTCCTCTTTTCTCCTGTATGTACCAGGGAATTTTTCTTGGCATTTGAAACTAAAGCTATGGATTGGCTGTGGGAATTCTACTTGGCTGGAGGTGAAATAACCAATGATTGCACATAATTGCAGAAAACAATTTTGAATTTTATTAACGAGGTGGTCTAAACAGCATCTTTGGCCCTTTGTCCCACTTAGCAGCTAATTCACCAAGGTCGGTGTGGTGTGCTGGGATTCACACTCCTCTTCCCATGACAGCACCAGGCCCTTGGGCTTCATGATCAACAGGGCTGGTCATTTTCAGGGGTGTTTTTCCAAGGTTATAAAATAAGCAGGGTTGCTGGAGAGCCACATGCCCTCAGGCTCAGCCAGCCGGCTATGGGCTACCTCGGTGTGGGGGGTTTTACTTTCCTTCCCCAGGTGTGGGGAGTCCTTAGGTTAGAGATGCCAAGCCTAGGTTCCTGTTGACTGGGAATGTCTCCTTTGCCTTTTGTTTCCTTCTTGCTAAGGCTCCAACATCTCTACAATGGGCCCAGTTGTAGGGTGCACAGCAGGGCTTCTGAGGAGGAGTGGATGTAAGCCTGGGAGTTAACGTTGATGGAGTGGCTGCAGGATGCTGCCTCTCAGTGTAGTCTGAGACCGGGGCGCGTGTAGGTCAGGACTGTGGACCAGGGAGACCTCAGCTGGCCCACTTTCTATTTCCCAGAATGCCTGCAGTTACCCTGTGTGGTTGCCTGCTTAGCGTTGATTTGCTGTCTGTCCCGTCTGCTCTGGCGGGCACTCAGGAGGGAGAAAGCACTTAACTCCTCATGGGCATTTACTGGACGCCACGTCAGAGTGTAAGCCCCTTGGGGGTCAAGGACCTTATGGTCCCGGCTCAGTCCTTGTACCCTGGGTACAGCCTAGAATATACCAGACACTTAAATGTTAATGAGCAGATAATAGGATGGTTATTGTGAAAAGATACTCGAGACTGTCAACATTAGAAAAGAAACGTTTTGTTTTGGCCCACAGTTTTGGAAGCTTCAATCTGCATAACTTGCTCTGTTGCCTTGGGGGGAGAAACTGCTCTCTCGCTCCCTCCCCAAGAGCAAAGCAAAGAGAAGCAGAAGGCTTCACACTCGCCCTGCGGGGGAGGAGGGGGTTTGTCCACAGTGAGCTAACTTCTTTCACTAGGCCCTGTCTCTCTTTTCTTCAGTCTCTTTACAAACACACCTTTTCGAGAAACAGTGTCTCCTGCATCCTAGCTTTTCCTCACGTGGGCTGAGGGAGACAGCATATGCCCCTTCAGCTGTTAACTGCGGCTGAGGAATGGCTTGGAACACACGGGCCTTTGCAGAACACACAATCAAACCACAGCTGTGGGAAGAGCACAGAGGCGCACGTGGGAAGGGATGAGAGAAACACGAGAGCACTGATAGGCCCCAGGAAGAGCTGGGAGACTCCAGCCGAGCAGGCGACCCCTTCATCCAGCAGGAGCCAGGAGGCCTTCAGGGAAGGACGGTGGTGAGAGATTCTGACAGGTTGAGCCCTCCAGCGGGGAGCTTAGACTGTGGAGAATGCGGCACAGGCGAGGCCATGGCTGGAAGAGGAGGGAGCACAGGCTGAAGGCGGACATGGGGTCCAGTATGGGTTTTGTTGCCTGACAGCGAGGAGTCGGTAAAGGTTGGTGAGTGCCAGGCAATGTGATCGGTCCATGGTGATGTTGGCTGGGCTTCAGTGAAAATGATCTGCAGCGGGTCTTGCACTGGTACTAGCTCCTGTAGGGTCTTAGGGCACAGAAAAGATGAGGGGGGCAGAAGCATTTCTGTTCCTCATGGCTTCTGGGTAGTGTGCAGGGCAGCCTGGATGACACAGGAGGGAGGACCATCCTTTCGAATGTTAGGAGAGTCACATCCGAAGGGAAATTCACTTTTCTCCGGGGTATTTCATTCTCTCTCTCAGCAGAGTTCCGTGTGATTTCATCACAGTTGGGAGGGTGTTGGTAACCATCCTCGCAGAACCAGAATGGAAGCGGGAGGCGAAATGGGTCTTCAGAGTCAGGCATGGTAGCCACACTACAATCTCAGCATTTGGGAAGAAGGATGAGTTCAAGGTCATTTTTGGCCCTCAGCCAATCTGAGCTTCACGAGACACTGTCTCCAGTAGCCAAGGGGGTGAGGGATTGCTCCCAGATGAGAGACTAGCACTCGGATCCTGCAGCCCAGGAGATCCTCCATAGCAGAGCTCAAGCCGTTGGCAGCATAGAGGAGGGGGATGTTCCCAGTCCCTTCCTTCCCACCTTCCTTCCTGTGGAGTATCCAAGGACCTGTGGTTTGAGTATGGACCCCTCAAAGCTCACGTGTTAGACATTGAACGCCCCAATTCCTGTTGTTTGGAGATAGGGGCGTTGGGAGGTAATTGGGGTCAGATGAGTTCTTGAGGGTGGGGTCCCCCATGATGGCTTCAGGAACTTGAGAAGAGATCTGGCCTAGCATGCCTGCTCTGTCTCACTGGGTGATGCTCTCCCCTTGTTATGAGGCCCCTACCAGATGCCAGCACTGTCCTTGAGCTTCCCAGCTCCTAGAAACCTTCTGTTCTTTATAAACCACATGGTTTCAGGTGTTCCATAATAGCCACAGAAAACGGACTATAGCCCAGGCCTCTCCATTTTTGTTTTCTTCCCCAAGGGAAGCTCCCAGGCATAGGAAATCATTTGCAGATACACTTGTGTGCCCCTCTGCTCTTCCCACTGGGAGTGTTCTTTTCTTCTTGGGACACCACAGTCATGTTACTTTTTCCAGTCCAAAAATCTATCCCGAGGAAGCAGGCAGCTTTTACACTCACACCAAGGGAATGTCTGTGCGGGCTTTGTGTCTGCGAGCGTGGGTCCCAGCGCTGAGGAGTCTGAAGAGAAAGCCTTATCAGCTGTTGCTGAATGTAATATTCCTGTGTGCCTAAGCAGGTACAGTTCAAAGCCAAACAAGGCTCTGCCTTGGCTGGGCGTGGATCTGAGCCTTGGCCACAGGATCGCCAGACATCTTCCCAAGCTCCTGCGTGGCTGAGGCATTCCCAATTAGTAATGGCAGAAAGCTGCTCTCTGTGAATGACCCACCATCCAAAGAGCCGTGTTGTTCTTGTCACCACCACAGCCATCTGCTATTCTAGACATTTTTGTATGTGTTGTATAGGTGTGTTGTGTGTATATATGCATGTCTACATGTGGGTACACATGCATGCGTGCATGTGTGTACATACAGAGGCAGAGGTCAGTGCCAAAGACCCTCCTCATCACTTACCACATTATTTTTTGAGATAGGATCTCTTGCTGAACCCGGAGCTCATTGATTTGGCTGGGCTGGCTGTTAAAGGAACGCCAGAGACCTGGCTGTCTCCAGGTCCCCCCTCCCTTGGTTCTCACGTGATGCTGAAAATCTAAATTCAGTTTCTCATGCTTGCTAGACAGGGAGTTTACAGAATGAACTCTGCAACTACCTGTCTCTTGACAGACCCCAGGCGGTCTTGCTCCAGGGGCTAGCTTTGAAAACTCAAGGCAGCTGAAGATGCGTGGTCATGGCAGGCTGGGGAGCCAAGTGAAGATGCCTGGTCATGGCAGGCTGGGGAGTCGAGTGAAGATGCCTGGTCATGGCAGGCTGGGGAGTTGAGTGAAGATGTGTGGTCATGGCAGGCTGGTGAGTCGAGTGAAGATGCCTGGTCACGGCAGACTGGTAAGCTGAGTGAAGATGCAGATACGTGGTCACAGCAGGTTGGTGAGCCGAGTGAAGATGCGTGGTCACGGCAGGCTGGTGAGCTGAGTGAAGATGCCTGGTCATGGCAGGCTGGTGCCTTCAGATCCAGGATCATCCCAAGTTAGGACCTTGCCTGGGTCTCTTCCTGGTGCAACCACCCATGTGTGCTGCCCAGAGCCTCGTTCCCTGACAGAAACTCCAGATGTGGTGCCACTGCGTGAAGTTCCTCCCCGTTTCCCAAAGACCTCAGAATTGTTTATTTTTATAAAAAAATAAAATCCTCTCTGGACCTTGCCTTCTCTTACCGTATTCACCCAAGGAAAGACTTCCTATCAGGGTCATTTGGTCCCCTCTGGGAACATTCACGTCACTTCTCCATTACCTAGAAAATGAAGCTGGCCTTGTTGGCACCACGCTTGGTGGAGCACTTAGGTGTGTATCCACAGAAGTGGGCAGGTAGGGTGGGGAGCTGGAGGGCTGAAATCGATATGAAGCTGTTGTCTCCAGCACAGTGCTTGGGGCCCACAGAAGAGCCCCTTAGCCATACCTACTGTGGTGTTTAATAGTGACTGTCAGTTTACCAGGTTCTAGAACCACTTAGCAGACAAGCTGGGTGAAGCATGCTTCTAGCTTAGGCTGCTTGAGGTGGAAAGGCCCCCTGTAAACGTGGGCGACACCATTCCTCGTGCTGAGGTCTCCTGCTGCCTATGAGGAGAAAGGTCAGCCGAGTACCAGCATTTGTTTCACTCTGCTTCTTGACCATGGGTACGTGCAGCTACCTCCCACTCTCGCTGCTATGACGACCCTACTGTCACGGACTGCGTATACCCTTGAGCTGGGAGCCTGCGTAAGTCCTTCCTTAAGTTCTCTTAGGACCATGTGCAGGCAGGTAGGTGTGCGTGTGACTGTGTGCACACGAGTGCAGATGCCCTTGAAAGTCAGAGGAGGGAACCTAATTCTCTAGATCTACAGTTATAGGCGGCTGTGAGCCGCTCGAAATGGGTGCTTGGGTCCTTTTAAGAGTGGTGTGTGCTATTAGCCTCTGAGCTGTCTCCAGCTTCCCTATGTTTCTGTTTTGGTTTTGCCCTTCCTTCCTTCCTTCCTTCCTTCCTTCCTTCCTTCCTTCCTTCCTTCCTT